GCCGAAATAGGTTTTAAAGATAATTTAATATTATGATATTAGTTGAAGTACGATCAAATAGCATAGAAAGACAGAACTTTTTTTTCTCTATCAGATTATATAGACGAAAGTTACTTTAAGCCTACTACACGGTATTAAAGTGTCACTGCCCGTACTTTTAGTATGCCCTAAGGATATATTTGAAGCATTAATTTTGAATGATGAATCTAAATGACTGCCACACAACAAAGGCAAAAACAATTATATTCACAACTGTGATATTTTCTTTGTCTTTTGAAGATATTTGTTGTACTGTTATTCTTTTATATCAGAAAAAAAATTGAAATTGAAGGATAAAACTTCAGTGTACATTTAGATGATGTATGTAATCATCCATCATTTTCTTATCTCGACATTCTGTACGTCCAGAAAAACTTGATAATATTTTCCTGCTTCTTAATTACTATTTTAAAAAAAACATATTCCATTCAATATTTATTGACCAGACAAGAAAAATCGACGCAATTCTCAAACGATCTTAATTTTTCAGTATGTTTATTTACAAATATCAATGAATGTTAATTTGTATTTATTTCGGATTCTACAGATAAATAATTGTTTATATATTCACTAATATTAAATCATGTCTCTTATTTATGAATATTAAACTTTTATGGTTATTAGAATTGTTTTTTTCATTATTTAACTTCTGCACAACAACATCGTCTATAATGGGTACACATATTCATATTGTTCGAGGTAGCTTGTTAGATGTAAATAAACACATAGCACATTTGAAAATAAACAAAGTTCGAGCGATTGTAAACGCGGCAAATGTCTTTATGCGCGGTGGTAAGTCATTTGTACTTACGGTGTTATACACATTTTATTTAAAATTCGTTTTCCTTTTTCTTTAAGGTGGTGGACTTGATGGTGCAATACATGCAAAAGCTGGCAAGAATTTATTGTTAGAATTAGAAGAAAAAGTGCCGCATAGAGCACAGACTGGTGAAGTTATCGTTACAAAAGGTTACAAAACAGATTTTGATTATATTCTTCACGTGGCAGGTCCCCTTTGGGGTGGTGGTTACCATGATGAAGAATCAAAATTACGAGCATCTTACGTGAATGCTATCAAAGAAGCTGATAAACTTAATATAGAAACACTCGCATTTGCTTCAATATCAACGGGAATTTATGGTTATCCATTAGATCAGGCAACTCCTGTTGCACTAGAAACCTGTGCATATGAATTGAAAACAACAACAACATTAAAAAATATTGTTTTTGCTATGTTTCAAGAAAATGAATTCAAAACGTTTACAAAAGCATATGAGACAATATTTGTACAGAAAAGTGAGCTATGAAAGGTAAACTTTTAAGTATTCTTGTCTACAATAGAGATAAATAATTAGCACACTTTAAAATATACCATCAAATAATAACAAATTCTTCAAAAGAATTCAAATTTGTTTTTTTTTCTTCAATGTTAGGTAAAGTTACCATTGATTGCATATGCTAGGTATTTAATTTCTGAAATACTTTTCTTGTTATCTACTGACTGTGATGTGGAACTTTTTCATAGAATGTATTTTTGTGAATGAAATTATCTTTTGTACATTAATAAAGAATATAAAGTTGATAAAATTTTGAATTGAACTCGTACTCGTATTTATAGCTTTCTATAAAAATTTTGTCAAACGAACAGAAAATAGTTAAGATCTCCTACTTTTATGTGATCGGAAAAATATTTTTCGTGCTGGTTTCAGGCCTGTAGCAACCACTATTGTCGTACTTTCTAGAGAACTTAGACTTTCAGCAATAGTTGTGCCTCAAACGTCTCACAGGATAGACGCTCCTGCGTTTATTAATGGAGAGTCAATTTAAAAAGTCAAGATCAGAAATAAATTTATATTATTTATAATATTATTTATTATTTTCATCGACCGATAAGATCGAGCATTTGATTGAGCATTTATGATGATGATATAACAGATTCTACATTCTTGGCTGTCAGTTGTTCGTATCATCTTGCCTTGCTATAATTATGCAACATTGCAACAATTTATTTATGTTAATGGAAAACAAGATCTTATATCTTTTTTATACTTTGTCGCGAATCTCTAAAATCTGACGAAGTGGATTTTTTGAGTTACTAAAAATACACAGCACGTTAGATAAATATATAAAAATACAGTAACATAGAAAAATGTTTACTCTATATTTCGGCATATATTTTCAATCTGTCTTATTTTCAAGAAACTCATTTCACACACATAAAAGAGCACTCATGCTGTAATTTTCATTTTCTTTTCCTGTGTTTTGTTCTTTAATTTTATGTGAATACTCTGTAAAATCTGTTGATGACTTTTCAATAGATCATCCATTCTACAAGCTTGAACACAAACAGTAGAAGTCAGTACCAGAAGCGAATAAAACACAGTATATTTCCTTATTTTTTCGCTCTTATTTCTGATAATAGACTACATTCTTCTCAAAAAATGAAAATTAAAATTGAATTTGAAATTGTAAATTATTTTTATTAGATAAATAATGCTTTACATTAGAAGAAAGAAAAGCGTAAAAATTTATTTAAGTTCTAATTTGTATAACACATAACAGTCACACTCAAAAAAAATGAAAAAATCCATTAACTTTTTTTGAAAGAACATGACGTGCTGAAAGGATGTCCTTCTTGAACTGTTAAATTCATTCAAAAAAAAACATTCAATCTTTTTTAATCCTTAATTCAAACAATATATTTTACATTCTGTTTAAAAATGAAGGACGACAAAAACATCATTTTCATCGAAAGTCCTTTAAAAAACTCTCCTAGCACCGTGGGGAGAAATTCTTTTAGGGTTTTTACTAGGTCGATCGATCGACATGTAAATCATCGAAACAGGAATTGGGCATATCCAAAGGTTTCTTCGTGAGAAAATGTTAAAATCATTGAGATATAAATAAAATTTTAGATGCACCTAGGCGTACTTAAAATCAAACGCGTGCACACTTCTCGATTCTAAGTTTGCTGAGTCCAATTTAAACTTGTCTGATTTGTAGTTGTATCGGTAATAAATACAGCACATTTAACGTGCTATGCTTCTTCTGTGCATGTTCTTTGATAAGGAAAGTTGAGACTGAGATGATTAAAAGCTTTCTTTGACTAACACTAGTTTTTCCTTTATTTTTACTCCTTTATTGAGTTTCTGAATAGATATTTAGAGACCTGGTCTTTTGAGATCCATCACGAATCTGCAAATCACAAGATTCTGATCTAATCAGTCGTAGAGTTTATCGACTTAAGTTTTAATTAATTTATAAAAATTTCACCATTAAACAAACTGAAAACATCAGGTATTTCACTGTGCTTGGAAATATTCATATTTTTAAGTTGATCGATGAGACCTGTATCATAATACATCAAGACTTGCTGTTATATACTCGCTAAGTGATGGTAAATACTGTCTTAATATGTGCTTGTGAATGTTCTGACTCTCATAAAACATCGTTCATTCACTCGATTTCTTAAGGTTTGCAGAGTACAGTTGGTCTCTAGTAATATAGTATTACTTACTTCCTCCAATATGGATAAATCAGTATCTGTGGACGATCATTTTCTAATCTAAAAAAGAAAACACAAAAAGGTTCTTAGAATTAGTTTGGTATGCATAACAGAAATCACTCGAGCTTGATACTATCATTCTTGTCAGGCGGAGAAAAGATATGAACACAAATGTGATTACTGTAGTCTCATTTATCTTGAACCATCTAACAAACTGAAATGTCTTTACTCACTGTGGCTGTTCAGAGCGCGTTTGTGTAGTAAGTTCAACTTCCGAATATGCCGTTGTATCAAGCCATGGTGTACTCCAGGTTGAGCCAAAAACAAATAAAACTAACGATAAAAATAATAATGGCATTTTGTTTGCTGTTATAGAATGATTTTATACGAAGAATAAATAGGAATAACGAGATGAGAAATAAAAGTTATGTTTTATTATGAAGAATAATTGCAACAANCACAGATAGTCATGTTTGTACGGTGTGTATAATGCATGGCAGAACATTCTCTCTCTTAAGGGCCCCCCTTCCTCAGAGATTATCTTCGACACCGTACATCCGATTTTGACGAAACTTTCCATAAATGTTAGGCACAATGAGTTATGGGAATGAAAAATTTTTTTTGTCTCTAAGTCTTACGGTTTAGGAGTTTTTCAGAGATCAAGGTCCTAAAAGGACCCTGAAGTGCGTCCCAAGAGTTTTTAATATACTTCAAGCTGGAGAGTTCGGGTTTGTTTTATTTTAAACTAGAC